CCCCTGTGAATCCCCCTCCTCCTGCCCCTGCAAGGGTGCCATCAGTGAATAGAGACCAGGAAGACCTGAGCCCGGAGCCCTGCGCCGCTCCCTCCCCCGCCCTCCACGCCCCACAGGAGCCTCTCCTCCTTTTTTCCCACATGTCTTCCCTTATCTTGTTTTTGATTATTTTTTTCCGGTTTTGTTTTAAGCTATTTTCATTAAATCATTTACATTTTACATCGTACGACTCCTGAGCACTGACTGCACTCACAGCCCTGGGCGACCAGCCACAGGATACTGTGCAGAGGATCTCAGTCCCCAAGGGACACCGCGTCCCCGAAGCCCTCACTCCCCACTAGTCCCTTGCCCCGGCCCTGGGAGCCCCTCATCTGCGTTCTCTCTGTTCTGGTACCTTCTCCGGATGTTTCCTATAAATGAAGGCATGCAAAAGATACCTTCTGTCAGCAAACATATTTTAACATGGGACACAATAATTCTTGTGATTTTTGAGACAAAATTTTTCATATTTGATATTGAAATCCCAGATGGCTAAAGATTCGATGTGCAAAACGAGGCCTTTGTGGTGAAAATGGGCACCATCTTGGGGTGGAGACCCAGTTCGTCCTGGGCCACGTCAGCCTGACACCAGACAGGACACGGCTGATCTTCCTGTGGCCCGAAGAGAAGCAGGGAAATGCAGGAATGTGGACGGACGCCCCACAGAGGGGAAAGCCGTCCTCACAAGCCCAGGCCAGAGAAAGGGTTCCCAGGCCTCTGGGCCAGAAAAGGCTCCAAAGCCAATGTGTTCACTGGGATGACGACCAAACACCTACACGTCCAGGGGGAGGCGACCCCCATGGGGAGCAGGTGTCAGAGATGCGGGACGTCCCCGGAAGGACTCAGGCTAATGAAACCCTGGGGACAGGTGCCTGGGTGGCTCAGTTAAGCCTCTGACTCTTGGTTTCAGTTCAGGTCACGATCTCATGGTTCGTGAGTTCCAGGCTCTGTGATGACAGGGTGGAGCCTGCTTGGCATTCTTTCTCTCCCTCTCTCTCTTTCCCTTAAAATCAGTAAAAAAGAAATAAAGAAAGCGAGAGACAGAGATAGAAACAAGAAACAAGAAACATTACGGGCAGCGCTGGTCACCTTCAGACCAGCAGGTTTTCGGCTGGGGAAGCAGCAGCCCAGGTGACCACGTGAGGAAGCATATCCCCCAGCAGATCCCCAGACAGACGTGGGATGGGCACCCCTTTCTGGGGAACAGTGCGCAGCCCCAATCCGCGTTCGCAGGTGTAGACCCTCCCCGTGCAGCGCTGTCCAGGGTCAGCTGAGAAGCTCTGGCACAGCGTGTGCACCCGTGCGTGTGCGGCAAGGCGGGTGTCTGGTGTGTGCGCCTCCTGACCCTGCTTTCCCCAGGGCTGGGCGCTGGCCACTCAAGCCTCTCCCTCTGCATTCTGTGTCCACACATCAGAATTTCCAAAGAACTCTGGCTCTGGACCGTGGGCCATTTCTGAATTTTTACTCCCATCTTCCTGAAGGCATCAACCGCATGCATAAATATCTCATTTTTTTAGGACACACACCATCAAGTGGAGTTTCTAGGCCCAAAGTCATATACTTTTAAGGTACAAGCCTCGACTTCCAAACTCCACGCTCTCCTTTCCACTTAGAGCCTTGTTTGAGAAAGCAGGGGTGCAGACCCTCTGGGACTATGATCTCCAGGAGGGGTGGGGTGGGCGAGCTCTGAGTGGTGTCAGCAGTGCACCTGGGGTGAGCGGCCTAGCAGGGACAGCTAGCAGGGACACCCATCCTGTCCCACACCTGCACCCACAACCGTGGCAGGTGATGTGGAAGGGGCGACACTCCTATGGGTAGTTCCACAGCTGGTGCTGGAGCCTCTCTGGCTCAATGATGGCTCTGATCTCGGAACTGGCACCAGAGCCAAAGCTCTAGCTGGTCCCATCTCTGAAGCTGGTGCGAGAGGCAGTGATGGACCTGTCTCTAGCTCTGGGGAAGCCTCCAGAGAGGACCCAGGCCTGGGTCTGCGGCTGGACAGAGCTCTTGAGCTGGCTCCAACCTTGGCACTGAAGCTAGAGCTACTGCTGTAGACCCTGGGACTGACGCTGCCTCTGAGCACTGAGCGGCTGCTGGAGAGGCTTTAGCCTTGGGTCTGGAACTGAAGGTGGCTGTGGATCCAGGGCTAGTGACATAGCTGGTGCTAGAGTCAGGGTGGATCCAATCCCGAAAGTGGTGCAGGAGCTGTCCATGGTGGGAACACTTGTGTGAGCCTGGCCTCTGGTTGTGGAGTCATAGTGGGTCCAATCCCGGAACTGGTGCGGGAGCTGTCCATGTGGGAACACTTGTGTGAGCCTGGCCTCTGGTTGTGGAGTCATAGTGGATCCAATCCTGGAACTGGTGCGGGAGCTGTTCATGGTGTGAAACCTGGTGTCAGAGCTGCCTCAGGGTTTGTAGTCATGTTGGATAATCCCAGAACTGGTGCGGGAGCTGTCCATGGTAGGAACGCTTGTGTGAGCCCTGCCTCTGGTTTTGGGGTCATAGTGGGTCCAATCCTGGAACCGGTGCGGGAGCTGTCCATGGTGTCAGAGCCGGTGTCAGAGCTGCCTCTGGCTTTGGAGCTGGCTCTCATTCTGGCCGTGATGCCAGGTCTGGTTCTTGGGGCTCTAGTTGCATAGACAGTCTTAGATCTGGCTCTGCAGCTGGTGGTTATATGGTGGGGGAGCCGGCTGCAGCTCTGGTGCTGGCTGCACCTATGGAAACAGTGTCAGGGCAGAGGCTGACCCTAGAGCCGGCACTAGAGCAGACACAGGATCTGGCACAGGACTCAGTGACAGAGCTAGTGCCAAAGCATGATCTAGCTGTGATGCTGGTGCTGGAGCTGCTTCTTTCTCTTGACGTGGCATTGGCTCTACGTCCACCACTGGTACCCAAGGCAGCGTTCGCTCTGGAGCTGGTGCAGGAGCTGACACTTGTGGGGGCTCCTGGCCTCGACCTGGTATGAGAATTGTTGCTCTTACAGTTTCTAGCTCTGAATTCGGTGCTGACTCTAGTTCTGGATCCAGTGCTAGAGCGGGTGCTGGAGCTGGCTCCCCCTTGCAACCTGGCACCGGCACTGAATGGGTATTGCACTGCTTCTCACTCTAAAGTGGGCACTAGAACTGCCACTGGGGCTGACACAGGAGTTGCTGAGTGAGCTGCCTCTCTCTCTGGGGGCGGTGCTCCAGCTGGCATCGAGGCAGCACTAGCTTGTGGCATAACACCAACCTTGACCATAGAACTGGTGCTGGAGCTAAAGCTGGAGCTGTCTTTATCTTGGCTGCTGAATCATTGTCAGACCTGAAGTTGATTCCAGCCTTGAAGCTGGCTTGACCTCTGGCGCTAGAGCTGGCTCTGGCTCTGGATCCAGTGCTGGCTCTAGTTCTGAGCTGCTAACGAACTGGCTGTAAGAGTGGATCAGATGCAGAGGCCGGTAACAGCATTGACTCTGAGTTGGAGCTTTGGCTGGAGGTGGCTGGCTCTGCAGATCTCTCAAGCCCTTGAGCTGGCGCAGGAGAAGGCTCTTGGGTGGGAGCCGCTGTTGATGCTAATTCTGGACCTGACACTGGCTTGAGAGACGCTTCTAATGCCAGAGCTGCCTTTAGCTTTCGTGGTGCCGTCAGAACCGATGCAGGAGCAGGCTCTGGTTCACTCCTGCCATTATCTGTTGCCCTGCAGTTTATGTTGGGTCTGATCCAAACTCCAGAGCTGGAGTGTGCTGGAGCTGGTGAGTTGGTGGATGACCAACTGGGGTCATCTGTCTCTGCAGCTGGGGGAGACAGCTGGCGCGGAAGCTGGTTCTAGCCCTTCAGCGGGTCCAGGAGCTGGTTCTGGGGCTGGCGGCAGGTCTAGCGCTTTTACATGAGCTGATGTTAGAAGTATGGCTCTGGGTTGACACTAGATCTGGTGAACGAGCTGGCCCTATCTCTGCACCTGGCAGTGGCTGTCCATCTGGAAGGGGCATGAAAGCCGGTTCCGGCTCCAGCTCCAGAAAAGCCGCAAGAGCTGGTGCTGGAACTGGCTCTGCTCTGGACCTGCCACCCTTTCAATTGCTGGGCTTGTGCCAGAAATGGCTCTACTCTGTTTTGGTACCAGAACTGGTGCTAGAGCTGGCCCTGAAGGTGGTACTAGCTTTGGAGCTGGTGGTCGAGTGGGCACTGTGCTTGGCACTGGTGCTGCAAGAGGAGAAAGGTTTGCCACATGAGCACCTGTCCATGTGCCTTTGCAAAACCAGAAAACGTTCCAGCACCGGACAGAGAAGCCCCAGCGCAAGAATTCACCCCAAGGCATCTTCCTCGCCTGTACCCCGGATGCGTGAATATCAGATAAATGTCTCTTCTTCCTTTCCTTGTCTTCTTATCGTATAACAGAATATAAGAGCTTTGATAAGAGTTAATGTCACAGCATAGGATGTAAGTTCCAGGGTATGAAAGCAAAGTGTGGGCATCATGTAAGAACTAATCCCTGGGGAGAGAATTAGTATGGTTTAGCTGTACACAGACAGCTCTGCCATGTTAGGAGGGAGAATGATGTGCTTACTGTCTTTATCCGGAAATTAAACTGCAGAACCCCGACTAACACAGCGCTACCATGTCTTCCCATTCCCAGTTTAGAGTGGCTGTGGTTTGCGGGCCTTCAGGACCGAGTGCCAGGTAGTGTGCAGGCAAAGTGTATCCGCAGCCCAGACCTCGTGCTGCGCACTGGGCCCTGCGGGCGTTTCCACGGAATGCAGAGAAACGCCTGGCTGAGGCTTTCCTGGCTCACAACACACAGATGACCCTCCAAGCCCTCTTACCTGTAACAGGCCAACTTGTGGACGCAGAGCTGCCACGCATGAGAGTGGCTAGAAACACCATCGTCACCCAAATAATCTCCTGGAATAAAAAGCAGATACGTGGGGCCTCAGAAAATACACCAAAAACAGTATTTCCAGGGCGTGGGCCCCACAACAGGAAGTCGGCGCAGGAGGTGCTCTCGGCCCTCTAACATGTGTCTCGGGTAAGCAGGGGATTTTGCCTAGTGGTCATTAGACATTAGGACACATGCCCGATATGCTCTGTGTCCTGTGCAGTCTCTCCTTTCATGCTAAATATTGTCACTCTACAGTCAGCACAGAGAAGAGGAAATTACATCATACGCATGCCAGAGGGAGCTGCCCCCTTGACAATTGTCATTAATGTCTCGATTTCTAACTTTCACTTGTGGGGGCTTCCTCTACACTGGTCCACCCCCAGGTACACAGCAGCTCGAAGATGGGTAACCGGGATCCAGAGCTCTAGACTCTTCTCTCACGCATCCTGCAGCAAGGGTTTCATAGCTAACGTCCTATCAGCTTGCAGAAAAGTTGTGTGTGTTTGTGTGAGGGGAAAGATGGAAGAAGGGGGAAAGAGAGATGAATTCATGGTTTACAAGCTGCTGTAAAAGCTGATTGCCATTACGTGCAGAAAACCCTTTGACAAAATTGAACACCACTTCATGATACGCACACTCATAGCAGAAAAGGAAGGGAACTTCCTGAGCCTCATCAAGGACATTTGTGACCAATCCACAGCTCCCATCACCTGGAATGGAGAAAAGACTGGAAGCCGCGTCCCTGAGGTCCAGAGTGAGACGGGCAGGGCCCACTTTCCCCAACTGGGGTCCACGTTATCCTGGACGGTTCAGTCATATCAAAGAGGCAAGAGAGGGAAATCAAATGCATCTGGACTAGAGGGGATATAGTAAAACGACGCCTATTTGCAAATGACATGGCCTTGTTTCTAGGAAATCATACAGGAAACGCAGAAAAGCTTGTGGAAATCATCAAATAGTTGAGCGAGGCTGCAGGATACAAGAACAGTACAAAAAAAATCGCAAATGTATGAGAAAGTAAACTGGTGCAGCCAATGTGGATAACAGCACGGAAGTTCCTTGGACATGAAAATAGAACCATATAACCCAGCAACTCCATTTTGGGTATTTACCCAAAGGAAATAAAAGCATGAACTTAAAAATCTATCTTATGCCCACCCGTGTTCATGGCAGCATTCCTTATAGAGAAGTGGAAGCAAGCCCAGTGTCCATGACGGATGAATGGATAAAGAAGATGTGGGGGTTTGTGCACCTATTTATGGACATAGAATGGACTATTACTCAGCCATAAAAAGCAGGAAATCCACTTGTAACAACACAAACCAGGATATGATGCTAAGGGAAATAAGTCAGACAGAGAGGAGAAAATATCCTATCTCACTTCTATGTGGAATCTTAAAAACAGAGCTCAGAAAGCTCACAGACACAGAGGACACACCGGTGGTTGCCGGAGGCAGGGGGTAAGGGATGAGCAAACGGGTGAAGGTGGTCATGAGCTACACTCTGCCAGTAATGAAATAAATGAGTTTAGGGATGTGCGGCACAGTCACTAGAGATAACACCGTATCGTACATTTGGAAACTGCAAAGAGGAAACTCGTAAATGTCTCCGTAACAAGAAAAAATGTGCAGCTGAGTGTGGAGACGGACGTTCACTGGACCTGCCGTGTGATCCATTAGGAATGTACACGGCTGTCTATCATGATGGTATAGACGGAACTAACAGAATGCCACGTGTCAGTTAAAATAAAATCAGCGGCGCCTGGGTGGCTCAGTACGTTAATCGACCGACTTCAGTTCATGTCATGATTTCGCCATCTGTGGGTTTGAGCCCCACGTCGGACTCTGTGCTGACAGCTCTGAGCCTGGAGCTGCTTCGGATCTTGTATCTCCCTCTCTGTCTGCCCCTCCCCTGCTTGTGCTCTGTCTCTCTGTCTCAAAAATAAACATGAAAAGTAGGTGCACTGAAAGCATCATGAAAGCTAGAAGACACCCTACTGAGCGGGACAACGTATCAGTTAATGACATAGGTCATAAGAGACCTGCATGTAGAATATATATTGAATCCTACAGCTCAATAGTAAGAAACTACTCATCCAGTTTAATAATGGGAAATGCCGCTGAGTAGACATTTCTCAAAAGAAAAGAAAAACCAGTGGCCAACAATGTTTACCATCACTCGTTAGGATGGAAGTGCAGTCAAAGCCACAAGGAGATACGAGTTCACATCCACCAGAATGGCTGTCGTTAAAAAGGTAGACATTAAACAGAGTTGGCAAGAATCAGTAGAAATTGGGCTCCTCCTACATTGCTGGGAGAAATATCCAATGGTGTAGCCCTTTGGGGGACGGTCTAGCAATTCTTCCATATGTAGACACAGAGTTTCCATATGATCCAGTCCATCATACCCCAGAGAAATGAAAACTACGGAGAGCCTGACGGTGAGTGTTCACAGCATGATGACTCACAATCGCCCACAGATAGAAACACCCCCAATGTCCAACGATTGCTGAGTGGATGAACAGAACATGGTCTGTCTACACAAGGAAAGCGATTTGAAAACTATTATTTGGCCTGAGACAGCCTGAATGACTGCCACATGCGACACACCCTGACAACACCAGCTGCGTTAAAGGAGCCTCAGGAAACGGCGTCTCTGTCACTCTGTGTCTAGAAAAGGCCGGACACAGACAGCCTCGTCACAGCTGTGCACCTGCTACCAGGTCATGGCAGGAAACATGACCCCAGGTGTGCGTCTCCCCACAGCCGGGGGGGGGGGGGCTCAGTGAGGGCAGAGGTGGGGATGGGGCCCCTTTGGTGCGGTGGACCAGCTCTCTCACCTCCAGGAGGAGTGGGGTCCCCGATCCTTCATGGAGAGACGGAGGTCTCCCGTTGGCCCCTCCGTACACCAACAGGAGACTTGCGGACACTGTGCTAAGTGAAATCTCTCAGAAAGACAAATACCCTATGGTCTCACTTATATGTGGACTCTAAAAAGCAAAAAAAAAAAAAAAAAAAAAAAAAAAAAAAAAAAAAAAAAAAAAAAAAAAAAAAAAAAAAAAAAAAAAAAAAAAAAAAAACCCCATAAATTCATAAGACACAGAGAACAGAGGATTGGTGGCTGCGTAGAGGGTGCACAAACTAGGCGAAGGTGGTCAAAAGGTACAGATTCCCAGTTATAAAGTCAGTCAGTCCTAGGGATGTAATGTGCAGCATGACAACAAATAAATAGTAAAGTGCATTAAATAGAAACACACATAAAGCAAGGTATATACTAATCATTTGATGAAAATATTCTGACCAGGGGATTACAGAAACCTATCCCTATTTACTTCCCCTCGGAGCAATGGTTCCATATTCACTCATCAGGGTTTGTGGCGACTTTAGAGAGCATTAGTCGCTGTGAATAACAAGAATTGACTATACTTTAAATTAAATGATTTAAAATTCAGGTATCAGTTACATTAGTGACATATAAAGGGCTCAAAAGCCACACATACCTAATGGCTAACATACTAGATACAGACTTCCATCGGTGCACAAAATAAGTATTGAACAGTGCTGCTTTACAGTTATTCCAGAGAATTACTCGAGGGCTACTCTAGCAAGTATCTCAGAGTACAATCCTGATCCTCTAGGCCTGGTCACAGGCTGCTCCTCCTGGTGGCAGTAACTTCTGAACTACCCTTGAGGTAGTGTCTTCTCACTGATCTTTGTATAAAAGTATCACCTCCATTTTCTGAGTTATGAATTCTTGTCGTTTGGCCTCTCCTACAATGCATCTTTGTGCCCTAGTGATCTGCAAAAACATCTGTTTTTCTTAGAGGACTCTCTAAAAAGCAGTACGTCCATTGAAGCAACCAGTAAACTGAGGGGAAAAATATGGCAGAACCAACTTTTTTTTTAACTCCGGATTCTAATCAAGTACTTAGAGAAATCAGGGTGGTACTACTCATTGAAGAAAGAGACTGAAAGTTTGATGAAAGTGTTGTAGTGCTTTGTTTACCTGCCCACCACCCTCCACTTCCCAACTTTCAGCAGTGACCACAGACACAGGAGGCCATGTTCTTTATGTGGCTTGCTGGTGTCAGGGCCACAGTAGAGGTGGCAACATGGACCTTGTTCTAGAAAACTTGTAGTTGTGCATTTGACTTGTCTGGTGATGACCTGAGGGAGCATCAGAGAAACCTCCCTTTGTTTTGCACACTCAGCAGCTTTACGAGAAATGTCAAGCAAATTTAAAGACATACTACCCAGGGGCACCTGGGGCAAGGGAGGGCGGTGGGGCAGTTAGCAGAAAGAACCAATAGTCTGGATAGGAGAAGGCAGAAGAGGATCATACTTGGAGGAACCAGGATGAACCTGGTTCAGGAACCAGCTTGAAGGGCTCCTGAGTGCACTGTGCTTGGCAAGCCCTGCCACATGCTAAGAAAAGACCTGAGAGAACCTTAAGACTTCATCTCTAGCCAGAGGGTCACCTGGGTGGCTCAGTCAGTTAAATATCCCACTCTTGATTCAGGTCATGATCTCACAATTCATAGGATTGCGCCCCATGTCGGTCTCTGTGCTGATGGCTCAGAAGCTGCTTGGGATTCTCCCTCTCTCCTCTCTCTCTCCGGGGCACCTGGGTGGTTCATTTGGTTAAGCGTCTGACCTCTGCTCAAGTCATGATCTCGTGGTTTGTGGGTTCAAGCCCTGCAATAGGCTCTGTGTTGACAGCTCAGAGCCTAGAGCCTGCAAAGTGTGGGAGAGGGTTTTTTCCTTTTCTTTTTGGTGCCAGATATTTAAGAAAATCTCTGCCATTGGCTCATTGCTGAAATAGCATGACACAGTTTGATGATCACACATGACAAGGAATATAATCCCTGCAAAACAAAACTAAAAAAAAGGTGTTTGGAAAAGTCATTTAAAAAGTAGACTCTTTTAGGTGTGCCTGGATGGCTTAGTTAAGCGTCCAAATTTTATTTTTCTTTTTTGCAGGGATAGAATTGCATTTTCTTATTATTTTTTTACAAATAGTTTATTGTCAAATTAGTTTCCACATAACACTCAGTGCTCATCCCCACAAGTGCCCTCCTCCATGCCCATCCCTCCTCCCCCCACATCCATCAGTCCTCAGTTTTTGTCAGCATTCAAGAGTCTCTCACAGTCTGCCTCTCTCCCTTTCCCCCACCATTTCCCCCCTTCTTCTCCCCCTTGTTCTTTAGTTAAGTTCCTCCTAATCCTCCTATACGTGCAAACATATGATATTTGTCCTTCTCTGCCTGACTTATTTCGCTCAGCATAACACCCTCAAGGTCCATCCATGTTGCTACACATGGCCAGATTTCATTGTTTCTCATTGCCATGTAGTATTCCATGGTATAGATAAACCACATCTTCTTGATCCATTCGTCCGTTGATGGACACTTAGGCTCTTTCCATGTTTTGGCTATTGTGGAGAGTGCTGCTATGAACGTTGGGGTACATGTGCTCCTATGCATCAGCATTTCTGTATCCCTTGGATAAATTCCCAGCAGTGCTATTGCTGGGTCATAGGGGAGTTCTATTGTTAGTTTCCTGAGGAACCTCCACACTGTTTTCCAGAGGGGCTGTACCAGTTTACATTCCCACCAACAGTGTAGGAGGGTGCCCGTTTCTCCACATCCTTGCTAGCATCTAGAGTTCTCCGATTTGCTCATTTTAGCCACTCTGACTGGTGTAAGGTGGTATCTCAGTGTGGTTTTGATTTGTATTTCCCTGATGAGGAGGGATGCTGAGCGTCGTTTCATGTGTCTGTTTGCCATCTGGATGTCCTCTTTAGAGAAGTGTCTGTTCATATCTTCTGCCCATTTCTTCACTGGGTTGTTTGTTTTTCGGGTGTGGAGTTTGGTGAGTTCCTTATAGATTCTGGATATTAACCCTTTATCTGATATGTCATTTGCAACTCTCTTTTCCCATTCCGTTGGTTGCCTATTAGTTTTGTGGGTTGTTTCCTTTGCTGTGCAGCAGCTTTTAATCTTGAGGAGGTCCCAGTCGTTTATTTTTGCTCTTGATTCCCTTGCTTTTGGGGATGTGTCAAGTAAGAAGTTGCTGCGGTGGAGGTCAAGGAGGTTGTTTCCTTTCTCCTCTAGGATGTTGATAGTTTCCTGTCTCACGTTCAGGTCCTTGATCCATTTTGAGTTTATTTTTGTGCATGGTGTGAGAAAATGATCTAGTTTCATTCTTCTGCATCTCGCTGTCCAGTTCTCCCAACACCATCTGTTAAAGAGGCTGTCCTTTTTCCATTGGATATTCTTTCCTGCTTTGTCAAAGATTAGTTGGCTGTATACTTTTGGGTCCACTTCTGAGTTCTCAATTCTGTCCCATTGGTCTATGTGTCTGTTTTTGTGCCAATACCATACTGTCTTGATGATGACAGCTTTGTAGTAGAGGGTAACGTCTGGGATGGTGATACCTTCCGTTTTGGTTTTATTTTTCAGTATTACTTTGGCTATTCGGGGTCTTTTGTGGTTCCATACAAATGTTAGGATAGTTTGCTCTAGTTTTGTGAAGTATGCTGGTGCAATTTTGATTGGAATTGCATTGAATGTGTAGATAGCTTTGGGTAGTAATGACATCTTAACTATATTTATTCTTCCTATCCGTGAGCATGGAATTTTTTTCCATTGCTTTGTGTCTTCTTCAATCTCCTTCATAAGTTTTCTATAGCTTTTATCATACAGATCTCTTGTATCCTTGGTTAGGTTTATTCCGAGGTATTTTATGGTTTTTTGTGCAATTGTGAATGGGATCAGTTTGATTTCTCTTTCTGTTGCTTCATTGTTGATGTATAAAAATGCAACCGATTTCTGTACATTGATTTTGTACCCTGCAACTTTGCTGAATTCTTGGATCAGTTCTAGTAGGCTTCTGGTGGAGTCTGTTGGGTTTTCTATGTAGAGTATCATGTCATCTGCGAAAAGTGAAAGTTTGACTTCCTCTTTGCCAATTCTGATGCCTTTGATTTCCTTTTGTTGTCTGATGGCTGATGCTAGGACTTCCAGCACTCTGTTAAACAACAGTGGTGAGAGTGGACATCCCTGTCGTGTTCCTGATCTCAGGGGGAAAGCTCTCAGTTTTTCCCCGTTGAGGATGATGTTAGGTGAAGGCTTCTCATAGATGGTTAAGCATCCAAATCTTGATTTTATGGTTTGTGAATTTGAGCCCCGCATCCAGCTCTGTGCAGTGTGAAGCTGGAGCCTGCTTGGGATTCTCTCTCTCCCTCCTCTTGCTACCCCTCCCTCACTCATGCTCTGTCTCTTTCTCTCTCTCTCCAAATAAATTAAAAAAAAAATTTTTTTTTACATTAGACAACTGCAGGCCTCAGGAAAAAATAACAGTAAACCTTGGAAAGGGAGAAAAAAGAGTTTTCCAGCATTATGATATTCAAAACATCCAGTTTTAAGAAAAAATATAGACTACAAGGCCTACCAAGAAACACTGGTAAAGATAACTATATAAATATTGGCTTGTAACTCCAGTTTTTGTTTATATAATTTAAAAAATTCATAAAACAATATTAATAAAACTAAATATACAAAGATGTAATTTGTGACAACAACACAAAGTGGGAGAGAGGATGGGGACTTATAGGAGCAAAGTTTTTGTATGCTATTAAAAACTAAGTATTAAGTCAAACCATGTTGTTCTAAAATTAGGATGCTAATTATAATCACCAGAATAACCTTAGGAAGAAACTTAAAAAAATACAGAAAAGGAAATGAGGGAATTCAGATGGTACAGTACCAAAACTAATCTAAAACAAAAGTAAACAGTGCTGGAAGAATTCAGGGAAAAAAGACGATCCTTGTAGAAATCAAATACAAAAATGACAGAAGTGCTTCTTAAGCACTTGAAATGTGAATGAATTA